TTAATTTCCGTGGGCACTGCACCAGCTTGTCCCAACATAAATTCCAATTCATCTTGTGTCAGTTTGTCACCTCTCAACTCCAATGGGCCAACATATTGTTTTCTCAGCTGTCCCTCAAAGTAAACAAACACCGTGGGGCAATTCTTTTCGGGGAAATTGGGTATACATGTGGTGGCAACAGAACGCAGGAATTTCGTTTGAGGATAACGTGCAGCCAATGCTTGCATATGATGATGAATGAGCGAACACAGTGGTACACCATTAGCATAGAGATGCAATACCACCCAAATACCCTCACCCGCCTTGGTCACCTCATCGACATAATCACAGCCAGCTATCTCACGTACTGTACCAAATTTAGCCTTTTCGGCGAATGCTCTCATTTCGGCCATACGTTGTTGACGATACCGTTCGAGGACTTCTTCATCTTCGGAATCTTCCAGTTCATCTAATTCGTCGAGGTTCATGTCTTCCACATTTTTACGACCATCAGCAAGGTCGGTACGTTTTTTTATGGTTTCATCGATCATGGCTTGAATTTGGTCCTCGGTAATTTCGGCCTCCTTGGGTTTTTGGGGTATAATGCCTTTAGCACGCAAGACATCATTCCATTCAGTATCTTCATCGTAATTGGGTTCCTAGAAAATATGATACAAATATTTAGAATACATACATATTGTGAAAGCATTGCACATTGCTTTTTTGTTTATTTTTAGTTCTTTTTATAGTCATTGTTGTTGTTGTTTATTGCTCAACAGTGGTATTCATTCCATATATGGACAATTAGAACCATCATATCTCATTTGTTTACAGCTGTTGTTTGTTTTCGGAAAATCTCACATAAACTTACCATTTTTATTGTATTTGTTTATGAATTAATTGAAAAAATACTTTAAATTTTAATATCTATATAGATATTTAAGAATATTTATGAATTATTGTCTGTGGGAGGTGACTAATCCTCCCCACTATGAAAAGAAATGCCAACCGCAAAGTTAGTTGGCAACGTATACGTAACGGTGACGTACGTAGTGTGTAGTAATTAATGAAAATATGCAAATATGAAGAATAGAATCAAAGAAATGAATTATTATCATCGTTAAAAATTGTCGTGAAAGATCTTGCTTTTCTTTTTTCGGATGTATATATGCTTGCTATGAATATCAGGAAGTAATACAACTGTAGCAGGGGGATTTTTAGCCTGTATACCGCCCTCTAAGAATAAAAAATGCCGTGTAAACCTGTTTGTGTTTTAATAAAATTTGTAAATAACTTCCAGCAAATGGACCACCGTGGGACATATCGCCGTATTGACGTTTTTCTCCACTGACATTACAGACTCGTGGGACATCGGCTGCCAAGGCTTAAACGGCATATACATTAGAACTATTTACCGGGTTAATCTACTTTATGAGGATTTATTTGACATATGTGCAAAGGAATTGACAATTGAAACCCACTAGGTTAAGGAAATCCGGTTAAATGAAAACGTACTATTAGTTCTTGAGTTTAACTATAATATAAATCTCAGTAGCAAATTTTCAAAGAAAGCATCCTCTGGTGTCAGCTCTTTAGCTTCATTTTGTCTGCTTTTTTAAGACATTATGAAAAATGAAATAACAGAAATCAATAACGTCTATGGTAACGCCTTGACGCTTTGGGGTTTAGTTAATTGCGATTGGCAACGCAGTCTGGCAAACAATATACACCACAACTAAAAGCGCTCCAAAATTGTATTTTTATTAATTTTAACCGAATAAATCAAAAAGCGAAATTGCGGGGGCTTGCAAAGCTGAGCTAATTGGTGTTATTGTGATATTTTAAGAAATTAATCCTTAGTAATAGTCATAATGCAATAATAAGGTGATGTATCAAAACAAAATCCTTTTTTTCTGGACCATTTGTCAAATTTATTCTTATGATATTTCACATGGATGGCAACTTGACACATCGAATTCAAGTAGAAATCAATAGGAGGTGTGTCTGGTTACTTTCCCTGCAGGAATTGTCCAGTAACTTCTTTCTGAGAGAGTAAGGTAGTTTTATTCTCTTTTGCAAGAAAAATGCGAAAAGTAAACAGACGGCATCCCTGCAGAAGCTTGCAACTAATCAGCTGATTTGTCAAAACAAACCAATTTGTCCGCCATTATAAAGAATTAAAAGAAAGAAAACACAACCAGTTTAACAAGTTTTTGAAATAAAAAGGAAATAAAATAAAAAAATGAGCAATAAAAGAAAGATAGATTTGATGTGTTCCCCAGAAAAAAAAAGCACAAAAATAAATAAACAAACAATAGAAAACATCTGATTGAATGTCGATGTATGAGAAGAAGAAGAGTTGCAAGAGATTGCAAGAAGAAATTTTTCCAGCAAGAATTTGCAAACTCTCACTGAAAGAACTGTCAAAATTTCTCTCTCCAACCGCTCTCTTTTGCAGAACTTTTGGGTTAACAGACGACTTCCAGTAACAATTTGTAACAATTGTTACAAACTTTAGGGTAACCAGACACACCTAGGTTGACCACATTGTGGGTAGGGAATCATTTTTTTGCATTTTTTGTATATTTTTTTAAAAAATAATTTTGGGAGTCATTAAATATCCGTGGATTATTTTAAATTATATTTATACCCTTCACCACACTGTGGTACAGGGTATTATGTCTTTGTGTATTTGTTTGTAACAGGCAAAATGAAACGAGATAGACACATGGTTCCTTTTGAGAATATGCATAGAATCCCTTTCTGAGTCGATTTACCGTCTGTCCGTCCATGAGCCGTCTGTCGCATTTATGATCCTATTTGGATGAAATTTGGCATAGGTCACTTATTTGGCCCAAGGACGAACCCTATTGAAATTGGGAAAAATCGGTTCAGATTTAGATATAGCTTCCATATATATTTTCGTCCGATTTAATGTATATGGAGCACCAAAGTCCCTATATATCTTTCGATTTGCACGAAATTTGGCACAGTGTAATGAATTAGGTATAGTGTGATGTGTGTTAAGTTTCGTAAAAATCGGTTCAGATTTAGATATAGCTCCCACATATATTTTCGTCCTATTAAATGTAAATGGTGCACCAAAGTCGCTATATATCTTTCGGTTTGCACGAAATTTGACACAGCGGAATGAATTAGGTCTAGAATGATGTGTGAGTTAAGTTTCCTGAAATCGATTCAGATTTAGATATAGCTTCTATGTCTGACCAAATGAAAAATTTAGTATCGACTGCAGAATGACATGTTTATGGATCCTTACTTAATTTTTTTGGATACACTAGAAACGAGAGTGAAATTTAAGAATTTGAAGATTTTTATTTAGTATAGGTTTTTAAAACCCACTTGGATGCTTTTAATTGACAGATTATTAAAGGCTCTCTGCGTTTAATTCGTTGTACAGTGTTGCCAACCATTTGAAATATATGGAAAAATTTGGCACATAATCGATACCTTATTATTGCATCATGAGTAGGGGAGACTGGGGCACCTTCGGCATCGGGGCACCTTCGGCAATCGCGTTTTCGATATGAAGCTCTCACCGTACATCACTAGTTTCGATACATAGGTATCGAATATCGAAATAAATAACTGACACAAAGTTTGAAATTTCTAGCTAATAAACTTATTTGGATACATCGGTTTTTATATTTTTATAGATGTTTCTGTAATATTTCAATTCCATTTCGTAAGTATTTCGCGTATAAAACTTTTTAAATGTTTAAGACAATATTATTAAAAAGTGGTTAACTACGATGTGTATTATTATGGAAATATTTAAAAATATAATGTTTTTACAAAACTGATCGAAAAAAATGAAAAAACTATAAAAAGGACATTCGGGGTACATTCGGCATTTTAAAGTGGGGCACATTCGGCCATATACAGATTGTGCAATATTATTTCCTTAAAATATTTTTGAGTTTGTCTTTAAAACTAATCCTTTAATATGGCTCGAAATTGCATATATAAGATCAAACGTGCTTGTACTGACGAAAATGCGATAGAAAACCCTTATTTCTGATGGTGTGTGCGAGCTTGAGATGTAAAAGTCCGCCGTTAGAAAATAAAGCTCTATAATTCAAACATTGTGTGGCGTATTAAAACCAAATAGAGCCTTTAGAAGATCAGAATTTCAACCAGACTGATAGCGATGACAATTACCCGGCTATGTCTATGTTGCCGAATGTGCCCCATCAAATGCCGAAGCTACCCCGGGTTGGGGCACATTCGGCGAATTTGACTTTTTTTACAAAACTGTAAAATTTTTTAACTAATACTATTTTTTTATATCTTTTTGGTACTATTTTTTATCATTAAGTGTTTGAGGACAATAATAAGCCATAAATTTGTTAAATATGTTGAATAAGTACTGAGATATAGAGCTCTAAAAAAAAAGTGCCGAAGGTGCCCCAGTCTCCCCTACTGCCATTGCACAATAAATAGGTAGCCCAAGTGCGTAATTTCTGCATGGATTCCATGTGAAATGTTGCCAACCATGTGAAATATTATATGGAAAAATTTGACACAGATGGTCAAGACAAAAACAAAGGTTGTTGAGATATATCACCTTATTGCAAACTATGTAAATTGCATAGTTTCTACTTGAATTCGACGTGTTGCCAACCATGCGAAATATTACTAGATAAAATTTGACAGATAATCGAAAAAACAGTTGTTTTGCTTAGATACATACACTCATTATTGCATCATGGTCCCAACTTGGGTTTTTTTTTTAAATTAGTTCTCAAGTCCCAGCTTTTATATTTTATAAATAAATTCTCAAGGACCAACTAACGGAATGGTGACACTTATTGTACTTTTTTTTCTAAAGTAAATTCAAAGAACATTTATTTACATAAAAATACAATATTGAATAATGTAATTATTTTTTTTTTTAATTCAAATCATACAACCACATAAACTAAAACTATATAAAGAAAGAGAGCTTGAAAATTGGTTCCACATTTGTTCCCATTTTTTGTTATTGAAGAAATTATAGAAAAAAATAATCTCTAATGTTTACTTTTGGCATATAGAATATCATTCTGTGATTCGGATTCCTCTTCATGTCAGGAAACTTCCCACACTGTCGATTCCATGGAACGTCGTGGTCGTGAGGCCACCTCTACATGGGCATCCAAACCATCACTGAGTCGGGAAAAACGACGAGCCCAACTGCGACGTGATGCAAATGGACCACTACCTCCGCCGCCGACTCCTCCACTTTCCGTGGTGGGGAATTGTAGGCTGGCATTACTGTGACGACTGCCAGCATCACGAAATACACTCATCAGATCCTGGCTATCCACTTGGGCTCGTTTCATGCCATGTTGATATTTCGCCTCCTTGGCCAGCAGTTGTTCTCGCTGCATTTGGGTCTTAACTTCGGCTGGGATATCGGGTATAATGAACTGCATAACGCCCGTGATGACGAAGACCACGTGCTTCAGGAAATATAAATAAATGAGAAATTTTCTTTGGAGGGAGATTAAAAAATATGACCTTACCTCAAACACCACCACAAATGCCAAGCGAGCCGCAAAAACATGCCAATAGTGAGGACTCAGGCCATAGGGTTCGTAATCTTCAGGACCATTTCTATATAAAAAAAATCATTTTAATTTTTTTTTCATAAACAAAATCTAATCCCTCCCTCCCATTGCTTACCTATAACCCCTGTAATAACATGTATCCGGATCTTTTTCCGTTTTGGCACCCCATTCCTCTTTATAATCCGATGTATTGAACACCGACAGCGAATGTTCGATATAACCCACCAGGGTATTCGATTCGGAGTAGACGAATTTATAGACCATACGTGGTATAAAATCACTGGTATAGGCAATGACAAAGGCATTTGAAACCACCGCGGTATAGGTTATAATCCGCAATATGCCATACCAGGCACCAATATCTTCAACACGTTCGGCTAGCGGTCGTCTGGCCTGAGTTACCATTTTATAGGCATCCAAACGTATCTCGGCAACATTATTGAGCAAAGCGAAAAGGGGAGCCAAAGGGAAGGCTGCCACAAATAGGGTTACAAAGCCATATTGGAGAACTGTAAAGAGAAGGCAAATTAAGGGAATTTAAATGGAATGTTTTTCAGTGAGGATAGGTTTTCAAGTGAGAGGAAAATAACGTTAATTAAATGGGACGTTTTTAGTTGAGGTTAGGATATCAAATGAGAGAGAAATGATGGAATTGAAGTGGAACGTTTTTCGATGAGGATAGGTTTTCAAGCCAAATGGAACGATTTAAATTTAGGGTAGATTAAAAATGGGTAACAAAGCCATATTGGAGAAGAAGAGGAATATTTTTAGGGATTTAAAATGGAACATTTACGTTGAGGGCAGGTTTTCAACTGAGAGGGAAAATAACGGAGTTCAAATGGATCGTTTTTAGTTCAGGTTAGGTTATCAAATGAAAGAAATGATGGAATTAAAATGGAACGTTTTTAGTTGATGGAAGGTTGGAACGCTTTTATTTGAGGGTAGATTAAAAGCGTTCGGTGTGAATTTTCTAAATATGGGTGGATTTTTTAAAAATAAGTTTTAAGGTCCCAGCCTAGGCTACGATTTTTAAGGACCCTAACCCAGGCGTTGAGTTTTTAAGGTCCCAAACTTGGCGTGGATTTTTTAAAAATATTTGTTCAAGCTTTAGAATTTTTTCTAATTGGGCGCCACTTACTCATTTCCAAATATTCATCGAACAGCGCCAACCTTCCCGGATCCTGCATATGATAATCCTGTTCCCAGGCCATGTGCAAATGACTCTCATCCTTGGTGGCCTGTTTATGCTTGCGTTGACGCCACCAATTATAGAATTTCGGAAATAGATATTCCATAAAATTATTCCAGCATTGTTTGCCAACCATAATAATTGCCAACTGAATACACAATTCCGAAAGACACCCTGCCGGATCGCATATATCATTTTTCAAACGAAAGAAGTCACTACGGCGGGCCTGATCATCCCCAGGATAGTCAAAAAACCTGCCCTTAAAGAACGCGATGTAAATCAGCGACGAATAGAAGTTCATAAACTCAAAAAAGAATATTTTGAACGTATACGAATCTTCGTATTCCGTATGGGTACGGGGATTTTCCAAATTCGTCAGACGTATGGCCAGTCGGTGGTAGATCTGAAAGGAGATTTTTTTGTAAATAATCTATAAAAAATTCTATATAAAATCCCTACCCTTGTCAATATCATAATGACCACCAAGTTAATGAGGGCCGCCGTTATTGTGGTAAATAATTTGGCATGTTCATTCACGAAAAATCCCCCACCGCCATAGATCACAGTCACCATGGATATGCGATAGATAATGGTTCCCAAAACGGCTGACAAAACTATTACAATCTGCAAAAAGTGATGGGGTTGGTAAATCAAAGAAGGACCAATTTCTGAGTTGCCAACTCACCATAAAGAATACCGCACTCCCAGTAATAACAAAACGTATCGTTCGACTCCACGTTGACATATATGGTTCTTTTTCTCTGGTCACGGGATTTATACGAAAATTCGTAGCATTCGTTTCAAATTCCGGGCGATTTTCCTCATCCGATTCGACGCTATTCAAATCCCATTCCCAAACAATTACCGATTGTTTTCGTTTCCACAGTTCCAGAAAGGTTGTAGCTAAAAGTTTAAGGTTACCAATCAGGTGTTGCCAATCACTGTCTTCTACATACTCACCCCAAAATGACATGAAAATCGCAAAGAATACCGTTGACGGATTATCGAACAAATAAGTAATCCTCGAAAACAAACATGACTGAGACAACCTCTGATAGCTACAAGCCTTATCACATAGCGGACAGAGTGTAATATTACCCGGTCCCAAATCATTGCAAATCTCCTTACTCGGTGTATTATCTTCTGACTCCAGCGTTGCCAACCCATAAATAAAACATAGGGTACCCACAATCGATGGATATACCAACATTTCCGTATAGAAACCTAGCCAACAAAAGTACAGGGCAATTTTGTCGCCAAAATATTTCCGCACCAAACAAAGTGGTTGCTTTTTATACCATTGTGAGGGATGGGCCCAGGTTTGATAGAGTATTCGACGATCCAAGGAGACGCCACTCGAATGCGGACGATCATAACGTCCTTCGTGCAGGGGGAAACAAGCTAAATAAGTTTTATCATTGAGCAAACGACGTATTCCGCAACGATCACTGTCATCGAAGGGAGTGCGCAGCAGAACCTGCATAACCATCAGGGAACGTTGGGCGCTGGTGAACGAGGTGGCACGATCTTTCACTATGAATCTGTAGGGAAGAAGGATTGTTAATTTTGGAGGATAATTTTCTGTGTGTGTGTGTTTGACTTACTGTTCTTCGGGATTCCCATTAGCTGTGGCAGCCTTGAAGGTCGTCTCTCCCTCCAGCACACTTTTATCCAGCTGAATTCGTTGCGTAAGCTTTTGCCAGACATCTTTCCAATAGATTATGTTGCGGGATACAATGTTCTCTTCGTCCTGACAAGAAAGAGGAAATAAAATAATAATAATAATGGAAGCTGATCAAGAGAATGAAAAAGGACTTCAGGAGAAAATGGACTTCTGGAAAGGACTTCACAGAAAAAACTGGTCTTGTGGTCGGGTTGCGGAGCCGTTTGAAGGAAAGATTGGCAAATGTGCATTGGAAATCATATAACCGAGAAGCTAATGAAGACAATTGCCAATGGTTCAGGTTGGAAGAAGAAATCGGCAGGCAAAGGTGGAGTTTGCGCATATACTGACATAAGCCGTGCACGCTCTCCTAGGTGAGGAGACCTTTAATAGCTTCACAATATAGAATCACGTTTAAAGGTCTTCCCAAAAATCTTCTGAATGCCCTCCAAACACCGAAAGCCCTTTGCTAGTCCTCCTTAAATATAATTTTCAATATTTTCGATTCTCCCCTATTCCACTTACCCATGGTGACTTAACCGAAATCGTTATGAATCTCTTGACGGGCAACTTCAAATTCATAACCTCCGCCAGGCGGGTCTCCAAACGCCAGGGTAAATGTATTTTCAAAAAATAGGTACATTCATTAAACGATTGCGTCTTATCCTCCAGTTCGACTTCGAGACCTTCTTTAATTAGATTTTCCATAAAGTTTTTACGATGATCCCGTTTACGTGATTCTGCTTCGGTCATGACGCCTAAATCCTCCTCTTCCCATGCTAAGACCATATCGATTTTACGACGACCATCACGAAACATTAGCGATTCGGAATCTAAACCTTCACGATCCTGTTTGCTGACACGTCGTGATTGGGTTTCTTCCATGGAGTTACGTTTACTTTCCTTGCGGCTGTTGTTGAAGAAGCTGCCATTCAAACTCGACTCCATGGAGGATTGTTTGGAGTTATTGGTGTTGTTGTTGTTGTTGGTCAGTGACTTTTCATAGGGCACCAATTGTTTGTAGGCAAACGGATCGTCCATTATTGTGTTGGGGGTGGGAGTGTTTGTTTTGATGACGGCCTTCTCCAAATCATCCTGCCGTGGAGTTTTGGAGTCACTGCCTCCATTGGTAATGGGTGTTTTTTGTTCCTCTGGTTCGGGTGTGGGTGGTGCCGATAGATGTAGACCCAGCGAACGATGCATTGCGGTACCGGGTAAATTCTCCAAATTATCAATTTTCGGTCCAAAGGCCTGAGTTGGACTGGGTTCCGCCGAATCATATTCCAAGTGGGTCGGCAAGGGTATGGCCATGCTGTGAGTTTTGAAATAATTTGGGCGCCATTTTTCATTGTAATGATTGTTGCTGTTACTGTTGCAGCCGGGTAGGCTATTGCGGTGGGTATTTGTGTTGGTGTGGTTGTTGTTGTTGCTGTTGTTATTATTAAAATAGGAAATGGGTAATACTGACATTTCCGTTTCCGGTGATTGTTGTTGTTGCAGTTGCTGAGCATAAAGATTTGTTGGTGTGTGCCTATCACTGTGGCTATCGCTGTCGTTATTAATCAGCAACGAATAGATATTTTCCGATGAACTCTGTTCGGGATGATGGGCACTGTGGGACGTCTGAAAGGGCGAGGGATCGAAGAGGCCTAAATCCTGAAAGGAGAACAACAACAAAAATTGGTATTAAAAATCGAATACCAAATGGCGCCCAACGTGACATTATCCATTTAAAGAAAATATGCAGAGGGAAAAGTTCTCAGAATTTTTGTCTATAAAAATCGGCAGGACCTCAAGTCCGAATTTTTTCCTATAGAAAAAAAGTCGCCAGACCGCAGGTCCATGTTTTTTCTATAGACAAAAATTCGGTCCATGTTTTTTTCTATAGAAAAAAATTTGTCAGACAGCAGGTCCAAGTTTTTTCTATAGAAAAAAATCTGACCGCAGATCCAAGTTTTTTCTATAGAAAAAAATTCGTCGGACCACAGGTCCATGTTTTTTCTATAGAAAAAATTCGTCGGATCCCAGGTCGAAAAAAATTCGTCGGACCCCAGGTCCATGTTTTTTTTCTATAGAAAAAAATTCGCCAGACCGCAGGTCCAAGTTTTTTTCTATAGAAAAAAATTCGCCAGACCGCAGGTCCAAGTTTTTTTCTATAGAAAAAAATTCGCCAGACCCTCCGGGTCCAAGTTTTTTTCTATAGAAAAAAATTCGCCAGACCGCAGGTCCAAGTTTTTTTCTATAGAAAAAAATTCGCCAGACCGCAGGTCCAAGTTTTTTTCTATAGAAAAAAATTCGCCAGACCGCAGGTCCAAGTTTTTTTCTATAGAAAAAAATTCGTCGGACCACAGGTCCATGTTTTTTTTTCTATAGAATAAAATTCGTCGGACCACAGGTCCATGTTTTTTTTCTATAGAATAAAATTCGTCGGACCACAGGTCCATGTTTTTTTTTCTATAGAAAAAAAATTCGTCGGACCACAGGTCCATGTTTTTTTTCTATAGAAAAAAAATTCGTCGGACCACAGGTCCATGTTTTTTTTTCTATAGAAAAAAAATTCGTCGGACCACAGGTCCAAGTTTTTTTTACAGAAAAAAATGTTCCTATGGAAATAATCTTCCTCAGGACCTGAAGATTTTTTGTCCTATAGAAAAAAGTCTTCCTCAGGACTTGAGGAATTTTTTTCTATAGAAAAAAGTCATCCCCAGGACCTGAGGATTTTTTCTATAGAAAAGAGTCTTCTTCAGGACCTGAGGAATTTTTTTCTATAGAAAAAAGTCTTCTTCAGGACCTGAGGAATTTTTTTCTATAGAAAAAAGTCTTCTTCAGGACCAGAGGATTTTTTCTATAGAAAAAAGTCTTCCTCAGGGGCCTGAGCAAATTTTTTCTATAGAAAAAAGTTTTCCTCAGGAGGCCCGAGGAATTTTTTTCTATAGAAAAAAGTCTTCCTCAGGAGGCCCGAGGAATTTTTTTCTATAGAAAAAAGTCTTCCTCAGGAGGCCTGAGGAATTTTTTTCTATAGAAAAAGGGTTTCCTAAGGACCTGAGGAATTTTTTCTATAGAAAAAAGTCTTCCTCAGGACCTGAGGCATTTTTTTCTATAAAAAAAGTCTTCCTCAGGACCTGAGGATGAATTTTTTCTATAGAAAAAAGTCTTCCTCAGGACCTGAGGATGATTTTTTTCTATAGAAAAAAGTCTTCCTCAGGACCTGAGGATTTTTTTCTATAGAAAAAAGTCTTCCTCATGACCTGAGGATTTTTTTTTCTATAGAAAAAAGTCTTCCTCAGGGCATGAGAAATTTTTTTCTATAGAAAAAAGTCATTCTCAGTAACTGTGGAATTTTTTCTATAGAAAAAAGTCATTCTCAGTAACTGTGGATTTTTTTCTATAGAAAAAAGTCATCCTCAGGGGTCTTGAGGAGTTTTTTTTTCTATAGAAAAAAGTCATCCTCAGTAGCTGAGGATTTTTTTTTATAGAAAAAAGTCATCCTCAGTAGCTGAGGATTTTTTCTATAGAAAAAAGTCTTCCGCAGAAGCTGAGGAATTTTTTTCTATAGAAAAAAAATTATATTCAGGTTCTGAGGATATGAGGAAAAAAGCCATCCTCAGGTCATCTTCAGGACCTGATGGTGAATTTTTTCTATAGAAAATTGAGGAAAATCCTTCCTTAGGTCCTCTAATTTTTAACTTACCGCTCCCGTAAACAATCGTCCCGCCACAATACCACTATCCTGACTTAGCCTTCGTGCGTATAGGGTTTTATTTGAACTATCATCACGAGCGGCCATACGTTCACTTTTGGCTGGACTTGAGACAATCTGGCGTTTGCCCAGCGTCGAACGTAGTGGGGCATTTCGCAGGGCTGGTACCGAAAGGAAACCTGCAGAAAAAATACAACAAAAATTATTTATTTATAACAATTTATTTTATTTTTGCATTAAAAATAAATAAACAAATTATAAATTCAGACCAACCGACCACCCATCTAGACCGATTGGCGACTGGCGGGTTGTGACTTACGCGGAAATTGTTGCGTGGCCGTGGAGAATAGCCGGCTGTGACGTGCACTATTGCCACTTTTACACTCCTCCTCGTCGTCGGGATCACGAACTATTAGGTCTTCATGTGAATTCGATTCGGTAATGGGTGCTGTACTGGTATCCTCTTCGAGGCTATCTATGCGAATTGCATAGGGCGGGTGGTGTTGCGACTGCTGCTGGTGGCTCTGCGTGTTATTCGACGATGACGAAGTACGGCTGCTGCTTCCATTACGTTTAAGTGCATTATTTTGTTCATTCATGTTCTTGGGGGAGAGTCAAATATTTTTTGTCAAGGCCATAGATTTGGAACTTGCGTTCTCCACTATTTTTTTTTTTTTTTGGTTTTAAAAATAGTTTGAATTGATTTCCTTTTTTTAAATAAAAATTATGTCCGCTCCTAATTTACATGATTTGTTACTTAATGTTTTTTGTTGTAGTTGTTGTTGTTTTTTATATTTTCCTAGTGTTCTTTATTGTTGTTGTAGCTTTCTAATACTGCCCTGGAAAAGTTATTTTTCTTTGCTTTTAATTTGTTTTGATTTTTTTCTCGAATCCCGACCACCAGCTGTTTCCATTTACACGCTGAATATTTTATGGTGGAGAGAGGTTTTGAATAATTTATTTGAATTCAACATTGTATTTTATTATATTGCATACCTAATAATAATTTTAAGGGGAGGGAGAATTTATAAAAAAATCGATACATTTTTTCCTCAAGAAATAAAATTCCACAGTTGCAATGAGGTCATGCGATTTTTTTGTCCTAAAGAAAAAATTGGAAATAAAGTCTAGCGATTTTTTTACTATATAAAAAATGGGTCTGGCGATTATTTTTCTATAGAAAAAATTTGAACCTGTGGTCCGACGAATTTTTTTCTATAGAAAAAAACTAGGGACCTGTGGTTCGACGCATTTTTTCTACAGAAAAAAACTAGGGACCTGTGGTCTGACGAATTTTTTTCTATAGAAAAAAAACTAGGGAGCTGTGATCCGACGAATTTTTTTCTATAGAATAAAACTAGGGACCTGTGTTCTGACGAATTTTTTCTATAGATAGAACAAAACTAGGGATCTGTGGTCCGACGCATTTTTTTCTATAGAAAAAAAAACTAGGGAGCTGTGATCCGACGAATTTTTTTCTATAGAAAAAAAACTAGGGACCTGTGGTCCGACGCATTTTTTTTCTATAGAAAAAAAAACTAAGGACCCGTGGTCCGACGCATTTTTTTCTATAGAAAAAAAACTAGGGACCTGTGGTCCAACGCATTTTTTCTATAGAAAAAAAACTAGGGACCTGTGGTCCGACGCATTTTTTTCTATAGAAAAAAATAGGGACCTGTGGTCCGCCGATTTTTTTCTATAGAAAAAAATAGAGACCTGTGGTCCGACGCATTTTTTTCTATAGAAAAAATTTGGACCTGTCCGATGATTTTTTTTCTGTGGTCCGATTTGTTTCTCAGAAAAATCCTCATTTGGTCTTCATGAGGTCTTGTCCTCTAAAGGATGATGTTATCCTCAGCTTCATCAGACCTCTGAAGGGTTTGAAGATGTATGAGCCTTCTGTCGATTCGTCAGACATACTTCTGTCTTTAGTAGAAAATTCTCAGTCTCTTAAGAAAACAAAAAAAAAAACATATTTAGGCCCCTGTTAAAGGCTTGTCTTACCGAAAAAAACCTCAAGTCTCTTTGGATGATTTTTTGTGAAAAACAAAATTCCCCAGGCCTTTGATAAAATATTTTTCTTTAATAAAATAAATTATCAGACCCCTTAGGAAAACATGCTGTATGGGATTTGCACCTCAAATAATGGCATAAACCACTCAAATAGGTTCAAAACGAAGAAGCGTATGAGTGTTGTCGTTACCCATACGCATGGGGAACCTATAAGCTGAGAAAAAATCATTAGAACCACCTGAGGAAAATATTGTATAAAAATTGCGCGATTCAAACAGCTAAAATTTTTTTTATAAAAAAAAAATTGAAAGATCCTCCTGATGATGATAAAAAATCTTCGAAGAAAATAAAAAATTAAAAAAATTCATCACGACCCAGAGAATGGCTAAATGAAACCAGTAAGGAAAGTAGTAAAGTCGGACGGGGCCGACTATATGATACCCTTCACCACTATGGGTATATTAAACAGGACTATTAACATGAAATTGGATGAAATAAAATATGTGATATTTATCTAAATGTGAATCTACCTAGATCTATCCATTAACATGTCATTCGTATGTTACAATGGGACAAAAGTATGTAAATCGACTTCAAACAAATAAAAATAGGTCATCCGTTGGGGAATGTCTGTACTTCTATAAAACGCAACTACGTAATTCTAGGCTCAATTTTGTACGTTGTACAGAATTTGATGTCAATCTGACTAACATGAGGAGTTTTATGCCCAATTTACTTGAAATCGGGCGAAAATATATATGGAAGTTCTATCCAAATATTAAGCGATTTCACACAAACTTGTCACAGGTTAGGTTATACTAATTTCAGAACGTTTTGTTTCTATCACCTTATTGGTTCCTTGTCGCGTCAATTACTTAAAATCAATCTATAATAAAAGGGAGCTATATCTAAATCATTATCGTTATGCCAAATTTCGTGCAAATCGAAGGATATATAGAGACTTTGGTGCACCATTTACATGAAATCGGACGAAACTATATATGGGAGCTATATCTACATCTGGACCGATTTTCATGAAACTTGGCAGACATCATTCTAGGCCCAATTCAGTACGTTGTGCCAAATTTCGTGCAAATTGAAAGATATATAGGGACTCTGGGGCACCATTTACATGAAATCGGTCGAAACTATATATGGGAGCGATATCTAAATCTGGACCGATTTTCTTGAAACATGGCAGACATCATTCTAGGATCAATTCAGTACGTTATGCCAAATTTCGTGCCAATCGAATGATATATAGGGACTTTGGGGCACCATTTACATGAAATCGGACGAAACAATATATGTGAGCTATATCTAAATCTGGACCGATTTTCTCGAAACTTGGCAGACATCATTCTAGGCTCAAATTAAGTACGTTATACCTAATTTAGTGCAAATCGAAGGATATATAGAGACTTTGGTGCACCATTTACATGAAATCGGACGAAACTATATATGGGAGCTATATCTAAAACTGGCCCGATTTTCATGAAACTTGGCATACATCATTCTAGACCTAAATGATTAGGCTGTACCAAATTTCGTGCAAATCGAAAGATATATAGGGACCGTTTACATTAAATCGGTTAAATATATATATGGGAGCTATATCTAAATCTGAACCGATTTTTCCCAATTTCAATAGGGTTCGTCCTTGGGCCGAATAAGTGACTTGTGCCAAATTTCATCCAAATCGGATCATAAATGCGACCTGTACTTTGTTTACACTTTAACATCTACAGACGGACGGACAGACGGACGGACGGACATGGATAAATCGACTCAGAAAGTGATTCTATGCATATTCTCAAAAGGAACCATGGGTCTATCTCGATTCCTTTTGCCTGTTACAAACATATGCACAAAGACATAATACCCTGTACCACAGAGTGGTGAAGGGTATAAAAAGTCGCTACTCATACAGCAGTTTTAATGACCTTAAACCGCTTGAATAGGTTCAAAACGAAGAAGCGTATGAGTGTTGTCGTTACCCATACGCATGGGTAACCCATAAGCTAAGAATTTCACCGTAAACGTGGTAGGCTTTTATCTGTAAAATATTAAAAAAAATCCGTAGAACCATCTGAGTAAAATATGTATGTTTTTATAAAAAAAATCGAAAGATCCTCCTGATGAAGATAAAAAATTCTTGGAAGATTTTTTTTCTGTAAAGACAAAATTAAAAAAGTCCCCATAGAAGACATATTTATTTAAAAAATGAATGGGTAAAAATGAAAAAGGCCATCGGTGTGTATGCGTGCTGTCGGTACTCATACTCAACAGTTGATTTATTGGCCTTAAACCACTTGAATAGGTTCAAAACGAGGAAGCGTATACGTGTTGTCGTTACCCATAAGCATGGGTAACCCATAACCTGGGAATTTCTCCGAAGACGTGGTAGGCTTTAATCTGTAGGAAAAAATTTGTAGGAAATCTGTACGCCGGAGTAAGATTAAAAAAATCCTTAGAATCGCCTGAGGAAAAATCAGGAAACTCAAACAGCTAGAAGTTTTTTTATAACAAACAAAAATCGAAAGATCATCCTGATAAAGAATAAAAAAATCTTCGAAGATTTTTTTTTTCTAAAAATACAAAATGAAGACAATTTCCTACAGAAGACTTATCTGTTAAAAATAAAGTTCATCGGTGCGTATACATGCTGTCGCTACTCATACTCAATAGCAGATTTCGAAATAAGCAACAATATTCTATGAATACAAAATTCGAACCCCTCTGCTACTGAGGAAGACTTTATAATAAAAAGATTTTCGGAGCATCTGAAAACATTTTTTTCGCAATGGAAAACAAATCCTCTCTTACTTAGTTATGCATTTTTTTGTAAAGAACAAAATCCTGCGGGCCTTAATGATGAAGACTTCATGTTAAATATAAAAAACAAAAAAATTGACACTGGAGCGTATACGTGTTGACGTCACCCATACGACCAGTAGAACCTATAAACTAAATAAAAGGAAAGGAAAAATAAACAAAGTAACTGGAGAAGAATTTTCTAGCAAAAAATCGAACACTCTTAATATTTTCTTTCGGAAAATTTCCTCAGAACCACTGGTTTGGCCCCTGAGCAAACAAAATTTTTCGATAGAAAAAATTCATCCACAACATTTAAGAATATTCTCATTAGGTCTTTAGGACTTTTTCTGAAAGGAATAATTTACCATCGAATTTCAAGGACTAATTCTGAAATCATTAGTTTCAAATATTTTTCTAGAGAAATAAGCCCCCATCAGATCTTGAGAATCATGATCTAATTTTGGTGATGGATTTCAAATGGTGGATGGATGGAATGCAAATCTTGGCCTGTCATACTTAATGGCATGTTTACATGATTTTATCTAAATGGTCCACCATATGTCTTTTCTTCCGATTTTACGTAAATTGTGCACTAAAGACCCATTGCTTGGCCGATTGACACAACGTACTGAAATAAATATAAATTAATCTCGAGCAAGTTGCCTTAAAATCGGTTCAGATTTAGATATTGCATAGCTTTCATATAAAATTTCGACCTATTCATTTTAAAAACCAGTGAGCGGAGCAGTATAGTCGGACGGGGCCGACC